ATTGAAAAAAATATAAATTCATGAGTTCATACTGATATAAACAAATAAATGACCAGTAAAATAAATGGAAGATGTGTAAACTCTCTTTTAAGAGAAGAATGACAACTCATAAATGTAGAAGAAATGACGGAAACAGCTAATAAGTAATAGAGCAAGACTCACTGATCTGTCTGATCATGCATCTATACTGACTTGAATCATAAAAATATTTCAGATCTTTCATTTAGTAAGTATATTTCTAGGAATTAAGGAAATAATCCCAAGTAAAGAAAATTTTTATGTACAAAAATATTGCTCTATGTTATTTATAATATATGGAAAAATCTAAATATCCAAAAAGTGATTAAGTAAATTATGATGTGCTCAAACAATGGGATATTATACAATGATTAATATTAAGTTTATTGATAGATTGCCTGGATTATTATGGTAAGTGATACAGCAGCATGTGAAATTTTATATAGAGTATGAGCTCATCTATGTTGAAAATACATGAAATCTGAAAAAAAAAATACAGCAAGTGTTGACAAAATTTACCTCTGAATGGTGGCCTTATGGGTGAATTTTATTTTTTTCTTCTTTGAGCACATATGTTAATTTAAAATAAAGGACGGATGAAAGTATTTAAAAAACTGTTCTGTGTAACAAGCACTAAGGCAAATGAAACTCAGTCAGCATGACCTTCTTGTCATATGGCATGTATATTCCTGTGCCTCCTGGGCTTATCAAATGCAACATACCAGGCAAGGCACAGGGCAGTGCTTAGGAGAATGGGACTTGAAATCAGACAGAACTGGGTTCAAGGTTTCTTAGCTTCTTGGAGTCTCAATTTTCTCATTCTTATGAAGTCATTCAGTTTTCAATGTATTTTTAACTACTGCATGAGAGCACATATGCAAAGTTCCTGGCGCTGTTCCTGACATATACCAAGAACTGAACCAATGTGGCAATTATCATTACCAGTTGAGCTCTTAGAAGATGAACGATTATGCTTCTAGAGATAAAGATGAACTCAATTCAAGGTTTTTAGATATAGTTAGTGACTAAACATATGTACAAGTAGAGAGTACAACTAAGCAGAATACACAAATTTAAACTGGACATTTTTTATTTATCTCAAAATAATTTATCAAAAGGGCAGTGACTGATAAGGAATTCACTGTAATGGTTAATTGCCATTCATCTTTAGGTGTTGTTCAAATAATGAGAGTTGAGTTGAGTTGAGCAGAGTACACCAAATCTCAAACCTCTGATCTCCCCTGAATAATGCAGATGAGACATCTCATGGTCTTCAGGATCCGAGAATATTAAGATTCTGTATGTGAGACAATTCCACATCAGTTGAATCATTAAATCACGTGAATTTCACCTAGATCTCAACTTAAGAAACTTAAGGGAAATCTTGCTTTGAACTTCAGGGTCCAGGCACTCCAGATTTTCCTTGAGTCTTATTTCCATTCTAATTATAAAAACATGAAACCCCTCTTATTCTCTTGATCAATGCTAAATCAATAGTCTTTGATTAATATACAAATATTTTAGATTTTTTATATGTTATGCAAGTTGTCATTGAGAAGAGGAAAAATATATTTATAGTGCTACCTTCCACTACTACAATGTGTCTAGGATGTAAAGGCATGAAACATCTTAAAAAAGTAAAAAAAAAACTTGAGAGTTAATGCTGCTACTCCATACTAACCCACAGGTGAGAGCATAAGCCCTCCTCATATGGATGTTAGCTCCTGCCCAGCCATATTCAACAAGGTACATCAATATAATTACAAGGATTCCAGTATTAAACTTTTGGAAAAGTCCTATTCTTTAGCTATGTTATTAAAGATCCATCTATAAGCTATTTGTCAAGAAAGAGGGAAGGACAAATTAAAATTATAATTATATTTCTCTTAAAATGAAGTATTAGGCCCTCTGGAAGAGGAGGAAGAGCTAAATCAATAGGGCTCTTAACACGGGGAGCTTGTGTGTTCTTTCA